CACGACCTCACGACCTCACGGACATACTACGGTCCAGGAATATTAGATACCGGAGGCGTTTCCCTCTGGCCCTCATGACCTCCAATAATGGGGCTACAGCTACCCTATCCACAGCCAGTGACACAGCACTTTTCACGCAGACCATGGGTCTCCCCAACATTCAGCTGCAGGACTGGTACAGCCCACAACAGGCACAACCACAACACCCATGATGGCAGACGCCGTCCAAGAGACGCCTCAACAACCACAGAGACCCACCCTCTGGACCGCAAACCCCGGCAGGCCCTTCCTCAAGACGGTAATCTACCGTACATTGTCTGTAGATTGGTACCCAATAGCCCATAATCCCACCACCCAAAGCCTCATCCAAGACCCGGATCATCTCTACAGGTGCTTCTACCCAACTTCCGACTAAGGGTAGCCGCTTGAGGGGAGAATTATGGCGTAAAGTGCAAAAAAACTGTAAATCTACTCGGCTCCCCACGGTGTTACCCTGCGGCTCCCTATAGACTACCCCCAGGATGCAGAGTGGAAACCAAGATGGGATACATACCTGAGACGAGCCATAAAAGGAATACCCCCAGCCTCATACTCCTAAAAAAAAAAAGGACTCTGTGCCAAGAAACCCGACTACGCATGGACCCTGATCGCCAATGGAATATGGTTACCCCGCTCTGCCCAGCTGCTTACCCGAAGCCATACTTTCCCGGAGGGATCGGACACAGCAAAAAATACTTCCCGAACCAATAACCCGGCATCCGAACAAAATCTTAACCAGACAGGGACTTGCATTACCCAGTGGTTGGGTAGCTGTGGCAAACAGAGAGGGAAGAGGCGTAAACAGATGGTAAAATCTAACCTATATGTTGTATCCCATATACTGTGTCTCTTATATTGCATGCAAATACAATCCGTTGCTCTACAGGTACCCCGCTTCCAGATCACAAGGGCCTCCGATGCCCCTCACCCCTAGCACACCAACTTTCTCACGCTCCGGTGGCCCTCTAACTCGTGCCCAGGAAACTACCTACCAAAGCTACCTACCAAAGTGATGTAACCGTGCTCTTTATTTTTCACCCCCCTCAACTGCGACGCATGAAGCTTACACTGCCCGCAGTACTTAGTAGAAGAGGGTACCCTGTGGATGCACACATCTAACATTGTAAGGGCAAAGCAAACATCAACTCGATGTGGTGATGGCATTAGGAACATAGCGGTGGGAGGGAGAGTCAAAACCCCCTAAATTATCCCAGATCACATGCCTCATATCTTCAACCTGGGCATGGGGGAACGATCGTCAGACTGTACCCTTGCCCCATAACTACCCAAATATACCACCCCAATTCCTAAACACAAGTTACGATATCAGCAATACTTAGATTGTCCATCCCATCTCCCTAGCAGACACTCGAATCTATCTCCCCTCATAAAGCTTATCTGAACCGAGAAACAAGAGCCGCTGAAGCGCTGCCAAACCTGTTTCCCATTAGGTGTACCACAAACATGGGAAAGACACCATCACACTAAGCTACATCTGCAAATGTATTGCATCAACATACTCTCTATACTCTGTGGTAACATATACACAGCAGGATACTGTCTCAGACCATCGAAAACAGCTCAGAGCCACGCATGGCAGATATTAACGTAGTTATATTAAACGTTCCAGGTTTAAACACCCCTGCCAAACGCTCCCTAGTACTGCACAAACTACACAAATTTAGAGCCTACGTGGTGTTTCTTCAGGAGACACACTTCAGGGCAAATGCAGCCTCGACTCTCGGGGACAGGCATTACCCTCAAGGATAGTTCAGCAACTATGTGGGAGCTAAAAAGAGAGATGTAGCCATCCTCGTAGGAACCCATATTCCATTTAAATAGATAGACCATTACTCAGACCCTAGCAGCAGGTTGATAGTGGTCAAAGGATTGATAGGCAACACAGTAGTAAACTTGGCCAATCTCTATATTCCGAACTCCAAACAATGCAGCTTCCTTCATAAATACTAGATCAAGAATCAACTAGATCAAGAATAACTCAGCTACTAGATAATGCATGGCTATTCAATAGCTGGCGGATAACCCACCCTCAAACGAGGGACTACTCATTCTACTCGGCGGTTACACACTCATACTCCATGCTGATTCAGTCCTGTGCTTATGGCCCCATAACGTGATCAGACCATCCGCATACCCACCCTCTCCCCAAAAAGCTTCCAATGAAAGCTTAACAATATGCTTCTTATTGACCCATCCATAGTTAAACAGATATCTACTGACTTACAACACTACTTTTCGGAGCATTCATAACAATAACCTCACCCCCAATCCCGTGGGAGGCCCACAAGGTAGTAATACGAGGGCACCTTATTGCACTAGCGTCTAAACATAAGAAACATAGGGAAGTCCAGTTCCCTAGACATACATAAACAACTCATAGACAACGTTCCAAGCTACAGCAAATCCTGAATTCCCAGATAAAACTCTAACTACTTCTATCCATACACTCATATTTAAGGGGGGAGAGGTGGGTGCTTGTTGGCCAAAGCTTTACAACACAACAGGCAACAAACTTTCCCAGGTAAAGACACCCAACGTGACCCCCACCTCTTGCCAGAGATACTGCAAGCCTTTCACACCTTCTAATCTAATCTTTACAACCTCAGATAATCTCCACCATCCCAATTGACCACTTTCTGTATAAACGACTCACTCAGACAATCCCACCGAACATTAGGCAGATTTTTGATGCCCCCCTCACACCGGACAAATTCCACCTAGCGGTAAAACATCTACCACTGGGCAAAAGCCCAGGACCAGACGGGTTCACAGCCAAATATTATAACATTTTTCTCTTCCGAACTTACAGTCTCATTCATATGCACCTTCAACTCAATCACACAATCCAGTACCCTCCCAGACACAGCTTCAGAGGCCCACATAACCATATACCCAAACCAGGGAAGGACCCAACAGAATGCAGAAGTTACAGGCCGATATCCTTGATCAATATTGACCTGAAGCTCTTCACAAAGATCCTGGCCATACGTCTCAGATCGCTTCAAAGAGACCTAGTCCACCTTGATCAGGAGAGATTCGTACCCGGGAGAGAGGGCAAAAATAATACCACTAAACTCCTCAACCTTATCCACCTCTCGGGGAGGGAAGCATCAAAGAGCCTCCTCCTCACCATTGATGCAGAGAACACCCTCCAGGCCATGGGGTTCGGCCCAAACTGGATGAAATGGATCCCATTTACTCCAAACCAGGAGCCAGGATCAGGGTCAACGGACAATTATCGGACACAGCCCCCATTACCAATGGCTCGAGACAGGGGTGCCCCCTTTCCCCTCTCCTTTTCATTCTACTCATGGAACCCTTCGTCCAAGGAATTAGGGAAAACAGGACCATTAAGGGCATTGCTGCACAGGGCTGCAAACACAAAGTCTCTGCTTTTGCTGGTGACTTGCTCTTCGCAATCACAAATCCAAATTCATCACTCCACCGTATATTCACAGATATAGACACGTATGCTGAGGTGTCCAACTTCAGGGTCAATGTCACTAAAAGCGAGATCCTACCACTCAATATCTCTAGCACCACCAAAGACGCCAAAACACAACTATCCCCCCTCAACTGGTCACCAGTGGCAGTAAAACATCTAGAGATACATTTACCTAAAGTGTTACCGCAGATATATGACCTGAACTTCCCACCATTATTGACATCCATTGCCAAAGACCTCAAGGCCTGGAACAAGCCGTACTTTGGGTGGCACTGTAGAATAAACATTCTGAAGATGAATGTGCTACCCAAATTACTCTACCTACTACAAACCCTGCCCATCAGCATACCTCCTGCCTTCTTCATACAGGTGAAATGCCTTTTCTCGTCCTTCTTGTGGGCTCATAAACACTCTAGACTAAAGTATACCTGTCTATCCAAGCAGAAAACACAGGGAGGCCTAAGTCTGCCAGACCTGGAAACCTACCACCACTCCATCATACTCACCAGAATATATGAATGGGCACAGCCACACAATCCCAAACAATGGGTACAATTGTAAACTGCTTCATTCACGGCCCGTTGCATGAGAAGGGAAAACCTTGCCTAGCACCGGGGTACACGCCACATTCCACAGTAACACTGACATTACTGCTGTGGTCAAAGATCAGACAGACACCAAACATAGCATCACATCCCTCACCTTTGTATCCACTCACACAGAACCCATTATTCCCCCCCGAGAGAAAGTCAGGAGCATTCCAGGAGATGGCACCAGACACATATCTTTCTCCAAATATGCCCAAAAATATCAAGCGACAAAACAAACCACCCCTATGAGAGTAAGGCATAATAATCAATTAGAGGAAATTAATGAAGAACATACAAATAGAACATATAAGGGGAATCATTATAAATCCAATTACCCTAGGAGATTTTTTCACAATGAAACAAGAGAGAAGTGGAGACCAAGATTGAACACCACTAGGGATAATTATAATTACACTAATATAAGGAAGAATTCAGAAGGAGAGAGAAGGAGTTATAGGAATAGGGAAGATTTTCAGAATTATAGAGAACAGAGACCATATAGACAATACCAGAGTAATCAGGAAAGAATCCCCACTTATAACCGATATGAAGCTCTGTCAGATTATAGGGAAGAAGAGGTTTTTCGACAATCCAAAACCAAAGACAGACACAAGTTAGATCAAGAGCAAAGTATTCCAACAAATTCCAGGAAAAGGAGAGCCTCAGATATAGAGGAACAAGGGGAGGGAAACGAATACAGATCAAAAAGAAGGGACCTGAATCTACGGAATTAATAAAAGGCATTTTTAATTTAAGTGATAAAATCCTTGATAATCATCATAAATCAGTACTTAATAAAGGGTTAAAATTCGCCCCTAGCACAGGATTAAATCATTTCGATATGTATATAGATTTAAACCGCTTTAAACGTAGTTTATGTTTGAAAAATTTTTTTTGGGGGGACCCGCTTAATAGGGATCAAATTAACCAGAATATAAATCTAGAGGATGAATCTGGGTTTAAACACACTTCCCTTAAAAACAAATCCTCCTTCTACCCCAAACAAATGCTATCAGACGAAATAATAACATTTGAAACTATGGTTACAACAGAAATGAATAAAATTATCCCTAACGATAAGTTTAAAGATAACTTGACAATATTGGAAAAGAAAGCACTCAAGGATCTTCAAACAGATAAAAATTTAGTTATTAAACCGGCAGATAAGGGAGGGGGGATAGTGCTTATGTCTAAACAGTTTTATGATACAGAAGCAAATAATATTTTAAAAGATTCTAATACTTACCAACAATTAGGGATGAACCCAAGTGACAGTATTAATTCTCTTTTTTTAACTTTTTTTAACAAAGGGTTTAATGAGAATATTTTAAGTTTAAAAGAATTCCAGTTTTTAAATATTAAATTCCCCAAAATACCAGTTTTTTTTTTTTTTTACCTAAAGTCCATAAAAATGTAGAGAAACCTTCAGGAAGACCCATTATAGCAGGCATAGACTCAATTTCAAGCAGACTATCACAATATATAGATGTCCAATTACAACCTTTAGTCATGAAAACTAGATCACATATTAAAGATACGATTACAGTCTTACAAGTTTTGGAAGATATGCCTTGGGATAATGACTGTATTTTAGTCACTTGTGATGTGGCGGCCCTTTACAGTAACATTCCCCATTCTTATGGATGTAGAGCGGCAAAACATTTTTTAATGGAATCAAAAGAATTTAAACAGGAACAGATAGAATACATAGTGGAAGGAATAAAACTTATTTTAAATAATAACTACTTTTGGTACAATGATACCTTTTTTCTACAAACTAATGGGACGGCCATGGGGACCAAGTTTGCCCCCAGCTATGCAAACCTATTTATGTCTTTTTGGGAAGAATCCTATGTTTATGAGGGGCATGGCTGGGGGGGAAACTTGGCCTTCTATGGCCGATACATTGATGACATTTTATTGATTTGGAGGGGAGAAGAAAATGACTTAGTCTCCTTTTTAGAATTTTTAAATACCAATGATTGGGGTATCAGGCTAAGTAGTACTTGGAGTAAAGAAATAGTAACCTTTTTAGATCTTGATATTTTTATTGAAGGAGGTAAAATTAAAACTAAAAATCACTTTAAAAAAGTTGACTGTAATAGTTTTATAGAGAGTATAAGCTGCCACCACTCTCCGTGGTTGGAAAATGCCCCTAAGGGACAATTTCTTAGAATTAGACGAAACTGCAGCGATTTGGAAGTCTATGATGAACAATCATCACGGATAAAAGCTGATTTTGCCGTGAAGGGCTATGATCTAGAAAAACTAGAGAAATCAAGAAATGAAATAAGAAATAGGGAGAGGAAGGATTTATTAGTATATAAAACCAAAACTATTACTAATACACAAGATATTCCCTTCATCTGTAATTACAACAACAATAATTATCAAATAAACCGAATCATCAGGAAATATTGGCCGATCCTATTACAGGATCCAGCACTTAAACAAATTCTTCCTGCAAAACCCAGGATGATTTATAGGGGTGCAAAAAATCTGAGGAATAGCCTGGTTCGGAGTTCTCTTAAGGAACAAAACCATACCTCCACTATATTCAATAATGAGAAAGGATTTTATGGTTGTGATCAGTGTTCTGCCTGTAAAAAGTCAGGATGTAAACGAAGAATAATAAAAGATATAACATCGGATAAGGAGAAAAAAATTCAGATCAAGCAATTCATAACATGCTATACTAAAAATGTAATATATCTTTTAATCTGTCCATGTGGACTGAAATATGTGGGGAGGACTACAAGACCACTTCATACTAGAATCAGAGAACACATATACAAAATCCAGACAGGTTTCGAGCAACATAGCGTCTCGAGCCATTTTAAATTATGTCATGACCAAAAATCAGAGGGTTTACAGTTTGTGGGGATTAATAAAATAAATAGAAATTGGAGAGGAGGGGACTTCGTAAGAGATTTAGGTAAGCGTGAGATGGAATGGATCTATAGATTAAATACACTGATTCCATATGGTCTTAATGCAGATTTTGAGTTGTGCCATTTTTTATGATGGAATTCTTTAATAAAAGGGGAAGTATTATGTTAGTAGTTATATAAACCCCTTTTCTAGTTTTAGGTGGGGTAACATAAATAGTCACTTTTTATAACATTTTATGTAAGTAATTTATTTATATATTATTTGATTTTAGAAGTTATTATATGGATAAGATAGACATGTACGATTTATGTATAATGATATAAGCACATAAAGATTTGAAGATTCCGTTTAAATAATTTATTTTAATAATTTATAAATATGTATGCTAAAAGGATCGGAAATTTACTTTGCTAATATTGTTAATTAAATTGATCAGGGTTCAAATAATAATAATTACAATAGCCTTTACAACAATTATCTTATAACATTTTAATCTTTTTTGTAAATCAGTTAATTTGTTGTTTAGTAAGTATATTTATGAATTACTGTGGATATCCAAGAACAGAACGCAAAGATGAGTTATTATTATATCTATCCACAGTATAATCTTTTTTTCTTTTTTTAAAAACAGAAAGGGGATATGTAACGATGTTATAATTTTATCTGGGTTTTTATTATTACTGATTGCATTAAGATC